GGGAATTCTGGGAGTTGAAGTCCACACATCTTAAAGCTGCCAAGGTTGAGAAACACTGCTCTGGACCATCAGTACACCAATTACCCTTTGGGTAAGTGGATCTCCTTCCAAACAAAACATTCAGCCACAGACCAATTCCTTTTTTATTTTCTAAGCATCCTTATGGAGCCTAAGTGGGCTCAAAACGTTCTTGGAAATACTGATTACGCCTGGATCTGGTGGTGGTTTGCAGCATGCTAGTTTACCCCCACCCCCTTTTTTAAAGGAAAGAGATAACAGAAAAGGAAAAAGACATAGGCAGGTTAAGAAAAAAATACAGACAAATGAAAAAACAATTTATCCACCCCTGTTTTGAAGACTTTTTACTCTTAATCTGATCTTTTTAGACCAAAAACTGAAAATAATGGTGAGTTAGATTTTTTCCCAACTATCTTTGTCCTTTTTTAAAAATGGTACAATTGTTTTACAGGATTAATTAGAAATGGTTTCTGTTGTTATCTGAAGTGATTTTTTTGAAAAGTATACATTAGCCTTACATATTTTCAAAAATATTAACTAAGAATTGACTTCAGAAAAAAAACGTTTTCAAAGGCATCAAAATGAATAACTAAGTCAACAATTATTTTATTTGTTTCTTCGGCACTGGTGACACTTACTTGTCCTTCCAGTGGTGGTGTCCATAATGGCCACATATATCCTCAATCCCCGTCAAGAGATGATCCAGGAACTATTTCAGAAGGAAGAAAGATGCATTTATTGTTCATTTATTACACATTGCCTTCTCTCTAGAAGACAGACACCTTCAAATTATTTTTTAAAGAACTTTATTAAGTTTTAAAGAGCAAAAGGATAAAAGCAAACAAGAACTAATAATCAAGAAGAAGAGTAGAAAGAAAGGAAGTTAGAAAGAAAGAAAGAAAACGAAAGTGGTGGAAAATAGAAAAAAAGAAGAGGAAAAAAGAAATGCAAAAGTACAAATTAGAGGTGTGAAAAAGACTGTGAATACCATGGACTATGAGAAAAAAACAGTGAATTCTAGAACAAATAGAAGTTGACTATTCCTGCAGAAACCCACATATTGGAGGGGTGGGATATGAGCGGATAATGGACTAGAAAGAATGAGTATGTTTGGCAAGGTTAAGGGAAGTGCAGGAAGGGGAAAACAATGGATAAGGGGGATGGATGGGATCAATCAGATTGCACAACTGTCCTAGGAAGATTCCCAGCTATAAGTAAAGACAGGTCAGGATAGTCAAGAAGCCCACAGTCAACAGGAGTTGAATGCGACCTGATGGCACCTAAATAACTAATCTTCTTTCTGCGACAGAAGCCTACCCTTATGATACAACTCCCTTGACCAGCCCTCAACCACTAGTCTGTGCCAGCATAAAACAGAAAGCCTCCTCCAGTAAGCCTCATTTGCTGATTATATTTTGCTATCTTCTGGAGATTGTTTGGATGGGTAACTAACAATCAGGAGCACAACTTTCCTCTACTCTACCCAGTGAAACTATTGGTAAAGATGGAAGGTATAGCCTAGCAATCCTGAGGGCACCAGGTTGGGGAAGGCTGACATAACAGCGCAAGACATTCCATACAAATTGCAGTGCCAAGGTTCTGCCATAGGTGGCAGCAGAGTCCTGCACCAGTTCTTGCTTTATTCTTAAGCAATAGTAAAATCTTTGAAATGTTGAATGTCGTGAGAGGTAATGTAGAGAATGTTAGCCTCTGTTTTTAAATTTTTTAAAAAATATATTTTACCGATGTGAAGAATATCAACATAGCTGATTACAGTTGCACACACACACACACATACACCACAAAGATGCTTTGCTGCTGGCTAGAAGAAAACTATTACCTGAGTATGAATTTCCTCATTAATGGATCGCTTGGTTTCCTGCTTTTTTTTCACGGCCAGGAGGTCCACCAGAGGACGGATGGTCATACCCTACAGACAGACAAGTCTGGTTACATTCCACCAGCCATATCCAAAGTTAAGTTTGGTTCATTTTTCACTCTCCTTCACAAATGGTCTTCCCAAACACTTTGTTGACCCCACTTCTGTAGAACTGGCTGAACTTGACAAAACAGCTTTCCTATTTTCCTATTCCAAGAGCCACTGAGGATCCCCAGAGGTGTCACTAGGGAGATCTGGTGGAACATGTAAATCTTTGTTCAAATTAGCTTTCCACCCTCTAGAAATCAGCCTCCGCAGCGAGGTGAGGATGACCTCAGAACCATCACAGGTCATTTCTGATGTCTCATATATTTAATACATATCGCATTTTATGAGTACTACTAAAGAACTATGCACATAAACATACAAAGTGTGAATGTCACAGTGACTTGCATTGTGTACCCAAGGCTGCCCAACGAAGTACCTTCGTGTGAACTCTGTGTAATTAGTACAGTGAGTCCCAGAAATATTCCTTATTGAGAGCACAGCTAGGTGGCTGCACCCAGCTGACCTTGGCTGATCTTGGCTGAGACCTGTTTAGCACTTGCAAGGGAACCCGTCAGGAAATCCCAGGGCTGTAGGCTAGACTGGGAAGTTGAAGACAAATCCCAGGAGAGGGCAGTGGCAAACCACTTCTGTACTATTGCTACGAAAGTTACGCAGACATGTTTTTGGAATCTGCAGGAATCAAGCTCGACTCGACGGAAAGTTGACTCAATATGTTATGACACTGCAGGAGGAGAGCCACATTAGTCTTCGGTGGCCCCAAATCCAAAGGAGTTTGGCTGCATCTTTTCTGACGAACCCATTTTATTCAAAGGCATACACTTTCGTGAGCTCCAACTGATTTCATCAGATGCAGAGAGTAGCTTGACTGATCTAGGATTTATACTAAGGCGAGATGAGGGTTGGTTAGGGTTAATTAATAAGGTACCGATAAAATGTCTCACACGTAAGCTGCATCTGCATAACCACCCTGTCTTCCCCTCCCTTTCCCCCCACCTCACCCCAATTTAAATCCTACATCAGGCCAGTCACTCTACACATCTGATGGAAGTGAGGAGCAGCTCATGAAAGCTTATTAATTTGTTAGTCAGAAAAGGTGTGCCAGACTCATCCTGATTTTTAGGACATTAAGAAGTAGGGGCAGGAGAGAGCGAGCGAGCAGATTTTATTTCTTCTGCAGGGGCACTGAAAAATCCAGACTGGAGGTACTGGACTGTGAAGGTTGTTAGGAGGGATGGCAAATAGAGGGGCTACATAGGTCTACCTGCACAAAGACTGTGAAAAATATGACTGTGATGATTGCCGTGAGAAACATGTCTCGCATTGGGAAATGCTGATATTCCAGAAGGTAGCCGAGAGAGAAGGCAATAGCCCCTCGCAGGCCGCCGTAGGCAATGATGAACTGATCCTTCGGGCTCAACTTCACAATGCGAAATTTGTTGATGAACCACGTCAACCCCAGGACACCTGAACCAAGAATGAAAAGGGAGAGAGGCACAGATTACCTAACTGCACTGTTGACACATGCATAGCTCTTGATTTTTTTCAGGGTTTCAAATCACACTGTCCACCCAGCACATTTACACTGGTCAGATACAAGCTTAGTGGCCCCATTCACATAGCATGCAAAGCCTAGTACAGTAGTATGTTATATGAACCCGGTTTGTTTGCTCTCTCTTTTGGCCAGAGGAACATCCCTGCTGCAAACAGTTGCCCTCTATATCCTAATGGGAACAACGGTCCAGAAATTTAGGTGGCAACAGCATGTTCTCCCTCGGTCCTGTTTATGCTTAGACACTTCCTGTTAAGAATTGCCTTAAGCAAGAGAGTTTGCCAGCAGCATTCATCACCCCTGCCCACCTTCCCATTGGAGCCCCAGATCCAGACCTAGAACCCTGGCGATCAAGCAGAAAATCAGAGTGCAAATGACGAAGGCCCAGTTCCAGTGGTGGGTCCCGGCCACGGTGGAGACACCAAGGAAGATGAAAATAAGGGTCTCGCTGACGCTGCTCCACATCTTCAGGAAGTATTTGATGGTGGTGTGGGACTTGTGGGAGATATTGGCCTCCACGTAAGGGCGCATCACCACCCCAGCAGCAATCAGCCTGCAAGAAAGAGAGAAATGAGCTATGGAAAGACCACAGAAATCACCAGCACCCCTGATCCTGCTGAGAAGAAGGCTTTCCATTCTGCCAGATGATCACACTTGGAAGGAAAAGATGGACAGAGGAATGCTTATAGGAGTTATATACATCGCTAATATTACTGCTAATCTTCTAAGTTTGTGCTAAGTGTTCACTTGGTTGTCACTGGCAATCCGGAACTGCATACATGTAAGTGGAAGATATCTTTCCTCTGAACCCTACGCAAAACCAAAATAGGCTGCTAAAGGAAGTGACCTTCCCATGGCTTCACACACACCCCAGAAACATATGTTCCTTTAGCTTAGAGCTTAATAACAACTTTTAATCTTTTCAAACAATTCAATGTATTCACTTATTCATAATTAACTAATGATATACTGGACAGCTATCATTTCTGTGACATTTTTAAATTCTGTGTTTATCCGTTTGCATTTTAGTCCTTGATCTTTTTACTACTACCTTTTTTAATCTTATCTTTTCTTTAAAATGTCTAATAAAAAAAAACAACTTGATAACACTAAAAAGAAAAAGAAAAAAAGAAACCTGCATTCCATTTCACCTCTGCCTGCCCCCCAGCTGGCTAGGGAAACATGTTGCCCCTCTAGCAATTTTTCTGCATTTCTTTACCCATCTACTCAGCGGTGAGTCAAGATTACAACTCAGCATTAGATCTAGATATGACTCATTCACATTCCCTACCGAAGCGGATGCGCATCAGAAAGGCAGACCCAAGTCTCACTGAATCCAAAAGGTTCTGCCCCTCACTGCGGCCCCGCACTGCCTCCTTTTTATGGCCCAGACTGAGTTTTAGCTCTACTAGCTTCAAAACAAGAGGGAGGTGTTCTAGTCGATTCTGCTGACAATACTGGCGTCGCTAGCAATCAAGCCTGAGGATGACTCACCCCACAAGCTTGGCACAAAGCTGCTGTTCTGTAGGCCTCCAAGAGAACTGGGTTGCAAAATGGGAGGAGAGGCAGCATACTTTGATGGAGCACTGAGAGCAACTAAAAGCAATATACTTTTTGCAATCAGGCCCAGATAAGAAAAGCCCTTGTCCCCTGCCTCTGCCGAAGGAGAATACAAGTTGTCTTTCCAGAAGAGGGTATCTGTCTGTTATACCAACCTATGCAAAATCTTATATGCACTGCCCCTGAATGAAGTTCCACTGTGCTCAGACAGTTACTCCACCCTTGGTGTTCAGAGGAGGAGTTTGAGCTGCTATGCCTATGCATTTTAAAAGCCATGGCTACACAGCTTTTTTTTTTCAACAGTTAGATGTGTTAGGGCAGATGTCCTGGTCGCTCAGATTCGGCCTATGCCCAGATGCTACTCCTGGATGAACTGCCTTTTATTACAGTGCCAGTGGCTATGTTTTGCGCAGCAGCGTGGAAAATCTACTAGACCTTGATGGGCCAAATTCCCGCTAGACCATGTTTCTCAACCTTGGGCACTTGAAGATGTGTGGACTTCAATTTCCAGAATTCCCCAGCCAGCCATACATATTATCCCATTTTAACTTAGATTTTACATACTATCACATTTTTGCAATTTTAGATGTTATCACATTTTATGTAATTTTAGAACCTACGTTATAACCTAGACATAGATTGCTCCTTTTGGACCTCACTCATGGATTCTTGTCAGGTTGTTTTATGAATGTATTTTAACTTTGTCTTAATTTTTTTTTACTATTTATTAAGATAGATTTATAAGTACTCACAGAGCACTCATGGACACATTGCTTGTACTGGTCTAAGATTGTAATAAACTGACTGACTACGTGACCTTGAAACAGTCTTTCTCTCAGTTCAACCTATCTTGGAGGGAGCACTATGAATGCACATCACGTTCCTGGAGGAAAGGCAGGGTGTAAATCTAACAAAGACATAATAAAAGATAAATAGGTTAAAATAAGTCGGCTTCCTATGACCTAAAGATAAGATCTTCAAGTCAAGATCAACTCCTGGGAACTTCATGGACATAGTCATATAGTGATCTTACCAACAATACAAAAGTGGTTTGCAGGATGTTTTTTCAAGTTCTCAGTCTAGCCTACAGCTCTGGTGTGTCACTGTGGTCTTCCATCCAAATACTAACCAGACTGAACTCTGCATAGCTTTTGGGGGATCAGGAGGTGCTGCCACGAACTGCCATGGACTTACCATAGTTCAATTTCTATAGCAGTGATAGGCAATCCAGTTCCCCTTCAGATGAATGGACTACAACTCCTACAGTCCCTTTGCAATGACTATGCTAATTGGGACTGATGAGAGCTCAAGTCCAAAATATCTGAATGGCACTATTGGCCTCCATCCCAGCCAAATACTTACGCCATGATGCCTGAAAGGTGGAAGAGTTCTGCAGACAGATATGCCATATAACTGTAAAGAAAGACGAAAAGAGGTTCAATGACACGGATGTGGGAGGTGAAGCGGGAGGTGAAGGCTCCAATGATGCCGTAGACAACCCCGACAAAGACGCCCCCCAGGGACACCACAAAGAAGCTCAGGAAGCCCAGGACGATGTCCGTGAGGGTGACTTGTTCAAAGGTGGCAAACTCTTCAAAAAGGTGGTAGAGAACCTGGAAAGACAGAAAGGAGGGAGGGAAACGCCATCTCAGCCCATGGAGGCAGTGATCAGAGGTTGCCAACAGGGGTGCTAACATGAAAGGGAAGTAGTATCCCACCAAGGAAAGGAGAAAAGTTGGATCAAAGGGGAGCAGCATTCTTTTTTTAAAAAAATCTGCAGCATTTGTCCTGCTGAGTGCAAGCTGTTCATAATTGCTCCCTCAGAATCATCAAGGCAAACCCATGTGCTAAGCCAACCTCATTGGCTTGAACAACAAAACCCTCAGAGCACTTGAGCTGAGAAGGAGCAGGAAGTTGGCAGGAACATCATCTCCCTACTATTTAGATTCAATCTTTGGGGCTCAACTACCCAACACAGTTAAGGAAGCCAAAAATTATCAGTTCTGCACAATCTCTTCCCTTCTCTCATACGTTGACTTCCACACCGTGATCTTAGCTGAACTAAAGCATTCTGTTGCATTCCAAATGGAGTCATGAGTTTTAATAAGGGTTTACTTAAATTGTAAATCAAGACCCAGTAATAATTTAATAGGCTTGTTGGTAAACTGGTATGAAATTTTGCTTTGGACTTAAGAGCCAAACTTGGTGTAGAAGAGGAGCTGATGAGGTTAGCATTCATTTCTGGTTTAATAAAGCAATAGTTTATTAACTGCATCCATACTGCCTCATCGTCAGAGAGGACTAATTACAATTGATGGGCTTTCATTTTTAAAAAATCTGATTGAACCAGTAATGAGAAATGGAGCCCTGACATAAAACTGTTGCAATGTGGGACGTGTTCATTTGGAGTTTTCCTTCCCCTAGTCCTCTTCTCCAACAATAGACAGTTGGTGTTCTTTGCCCACAGTACAAGCTCAGGAACCAATTATCTGTTTGTGCCCCCATTTCTGGTTTTTAAGGGTGAGGTGGGAGGAAACTATATTTAAATCTTGATGTCTCAAGTGCCTATACTCTCACGTGCCTATACTCTGAAATGTTCAAAAATAATATTTCAGGGTCTGTAAGGAAGTGGCTGGACTAGGCAACGGGATAATTCATTCTACTCTATGACTGGGTTGGCACAATATGCACTAGGCTAAGAGAAGATGGATAGTTTGTGATTCAGCCTGTTTTTGGTAACCTAGCCACTCTCTTCATATGTTATATGAACCAAATCATAATCTTAAGCCATACTATGAATTTTTTTGCATCAGATGTTAAGTGAACCCAGCGGTTGGGTTACCCCAACCAACGCTTTTCTTCCTTCTTTCTCATCACTTTATTTCGTTCCCCTTTTGCCTATTTTCATATTCCCCCTTTCAGCACTGTATTTATTTATTTAACTACATTTGTAACCTGTCCCAAAGAACACCGGGCAATTCAAAACAGTACAAGAAACAAAAATGGCAAAATCAAGAACAAAAGTAATCAAATAAGTAACACGATCGGAAATGTCTATGATGGATACCTACCATCAAATCAGCGACAGGTGAAGCCTCCCTGGCTTATGGATGCAAGAAGGGTGGAGGGATGTACAGAGCTTGGGGGAAGGGCGTTCCAGAGGGTGGAAGCCACCATGGAGAGGGCCCAGTGCCTGGTCCACCATCCATATACCTCTTGCAGAAGAGGAGATTTCTCAACAAGTCCACTCTAGATGATCCGATCAGGCAGATGGGCAGATTCTATTCTGGTTGTTGATTTACTAGGCTTTCTCCTTTCCCCTTCCCCCTTTATGTTCTTTTCCCTTTGAAGATTACTGCAAATTTTAGGGTTACTCTAAGCATGGCAAATCTCTCTTGCTGTGATGGAATGGAATTCTGAAGGCCAGGCTCAAGGAGATAAACATTTTCTTAGCTCCCCAGAAGAGCGTGGGAGGAACAAGAGGATGAGACTGGCACCTCCAGATTACTGCAAATTTTCGGGTTACTCTAAGCATGGCAAATCTCTCTTGCTGTGATGGAATGGAATTCTGAAGGCCAGGCTCAAGGAGATAAACATTTTCTTAGCTCCCCAGAAGAGCGTGGGAGGAACAAGAGGATGAGACTGGCACCTCCCTGGGAAATTCACACTGTTGTGGCTGGCTGACTTTGGGAGATGGGGTTTCAGTCTGGGAAGATTCTTGCTAGAGGTTGTAGCTAATAAACATAGCTGGACTGAATTTGCATTGTCTCTTGGAGTTCCTTGGGCTAGGCCTGACACTTGCACATGTGATGGTGTGGATTTGGTTACTAACAAGAGCGTGGGAAGAGCTGGATTGAAAGAAATAGTAATAATGTGTCTTGGTGAGTTCATAAACAGGCCCATGTGAGCGTTTTTGCAACAATATGGAAATGGCTTGCCACAGCCTTCTTCTGGGATCCTTCCCTTCCCTTCCCTTCCCTTCCCTTCCCTTCCCTTCCCTTCCCTTCCCTTCCC